GATGACATGAACACTGATTATACCAAGAAACTGAACTTAATACTCACTGTATTTTAAATCAACAAATAAGGCAATGCTTTAGTTCCCCAAAAAGGGTGTATGAAACAGAGCTGCAGGAGGAGGGAGCAGGCTGCATCTTGCATTCTGACACTTGCGGATGCACAGACTCACCACACCTGCGTTGCTTTTGGTCACTTCCCTTCCCCTTCTGAGCTACTTCTGCTCACAAACCGAACACTACAAGGTGTTCTTCTGATTGTTCTACCTTCCCCTGCCAAGTTCATGACTGAAGCACTGTTAGAACACTTGGTGCACAAGTTATACAACTGGATCCAGCAGAGAAGAGCTGTGAGAGCAAAAGATCATTGCCAGAGCAGGGGAGAAGAGCAGGATCATAGTATGCTTTTTCATTTACTCCCTGATCTTACAAAAACATACACACGTAGCTCTAGGCCCTTGCTCTACAATATCCACAAAACTGACCTAATTCTGAATCTTGCTTCAGAGATGCATTGTTTTCACATAGAATCACAAGGTTGCAAAGGACTACAGGATCATCTAGTCCAACCATTCTCCTATCAGCATTACTACTGCAAGCTACTAAACCACATATTGTAAAACCTCATCCACATGCCATTTCTTATTGTCTTTCTCCAGTACATCCACATCCTGAAGGAAATGAGCACTGGTGCAGCACTGAGCAAAGCACAGTTAACCATTGCTCTTCTACCCTCAAGGAACATTTTGGTCATGTCATTTATCATGGCAGGAGAAATGTGCTATTGAAACACACAATTCCTAAAGCCAGATTAAAGAAATTCTATTACATGCCAGATATACAACACAACAGTAAGCAAGCAAATATTTCAGATCACAAATTGAGAAATAAAATACCTTATCAATGATACTGTCAATTTTCCCTTCTTCTACAGACTTCTTAATGGTCTGTGCTGTTTCGGCAACGGATTCAGATATCTTTTTAGTAGCAGCAGTGGCGAAATTGAAGAGGTAACCTTCAATATAGGCAAAAAGAAAAACAGCTGAAAAAAGACCTCCCTTCACCCAAGACTGGTACTAGATTTTCCTTTCTTTTGAAACATTACCTACTTGACACCTACTGAAGTCTTCCTTCTGAATGATTTAACCCAGCTTCCAACCTACAAAGAACTGCTAAAATCCTATTTATCCTTTTCTGGTTCACAAACTCTTTAGTGATAATCAAGCTGCAAGTTGGATCAAAGTTTTCTGTACATCAGATCATTATACTTGAACATTGATTACTAAATCAAACATTCATAATAGCTCAATACACTGCTTTCCTTTACATTTTCTTAACAATGCATCTTTCACAATTTCACTTATTTCTGAGACTTTAAGTAATAAAGTAACTACAGCAACAGTATTAAAACAGTTCTATTTTGTAGAAAATCAACGTGCACAATACTGTCTCATGAAGTCAGACAACAAATGCATGAAAGTTCTGGAAAGGAACACTTCAGATTCCTTGACAATTCTTAAGATAGAAGCTTGCTCTTCCCTACTCAGTGTCCTCTTTAGAGCTCCATTACAAACAACGTAACACTGTTTATTCCTCTGAACAGGTTCAGGGCTAAGTAGCAAAGGCAATTACCTCTACTGCAAAGTTCTTAATTAAAGGAGTTAGAAAAACGTGAGAAGGTAAGCAGCAAGACCTCTGCCAGGAGCCTTTAGAAATATTAAATACCACTTCAATGACAGAGGATCTTAAAACACCACTCACACTGTTTACTTCTCAGATCATTACATGATGTCATAAGCACTTTAATCAGATGTATTATTCCTGTAATATCACTGTTACAGTATAAGTGCCAGAGTAAATAATAAAATTCTAGGGTTAGAAGTGAAGAAGTAATGGTAGATCTAAACTGCACAAAAATTCGAGTTCCCTATAGGCTAGAAATGTAAATAATAATAATTATAACAACAACAACAACTTCAAGATGTTAGAAGTAGTTGCACTGTTCTGACACATCGCTGTTCACCACTGGTAGAATGAGGTACTTTGCAACATTCACGCCACCTTCTGGAAAGCTGACTTGTTCTTTGAACCATGTATTCATTCTTAATGTTATCACCAAATCAACACTGACAAATGCAAAGGTGTAGCCAAGTCCTTCAGCAAGCCAAGTTTTTTTTTTATTTTTAATTTGTAACTTATTCCTATCACAGATTTGTGGCAACTAAAACTAAACTTCCTCCTAGCACTGGCTAGCATCGTTCTCATCTGTTTATCAGGCTTTACATCCATCACATGCTTTCTACTGTATTTAAAAAAAATAAAAAAGTCTATTCTCTACCTCTTGCACAGAAAAATATAGCACCACCCTTTAGAATAACAGAGATAACAGTCTACTAGACTCTTTCCTCCCCACAAGCTTTCATTGGTTCTTTTATGTATCCCTGGAATCTTTTTAATCCCCCTTCCCTGGAATTATTCAAGGCCAAGCTGGATGGGGCTTTGAGCAACCTGGTCTAGAGGGAGGTGTCCCTGCCTATAACAGAGGTTGGAACTACATGATCTGAAAGGTCTCTTCAAACCCAAACCATTCTATTATTCTAATATTTAAGCGCTTTAGGTGGAAAAGTTTGAAGCATTTGCTGCCCAGCAATACTTTGGTACCACTGAGCAAAGTAGTTCAGGCCCTAAAGGGCAAAACACTTTTTCTATTAAGGACTGAACATTCTTATGCTAAGGTACTCAACATACCTCAGTAAGAGGAGCAACTTAGCCTCAGAAGAATAGTATTAGTAATGGAAAAACAAAGCTTCCACATCCAATTGACCAAGAACACTTCATCTTAGAAGCCTATGTAAGAAAATCTATCCAACAATATTTCTATCACTGATTCATATCGACAAAGTTTTCTAAGCCTTTGTAATGACATAATAACAAGCAGAAAGAATGCACGTAAGGCTTCAGTTTCACCAGCAGAATTTGTAATGTGCTACGAAAGTCTCACTCACAGCTACTTTGGCTGTCAGACCTTTAGAGTCGTCTATTACAAGAGCAGCCTCCAAATCCATGCAGAAAAAACCTTCCCATCCCAACCCTCTTTGATGTCACAGGCGATGAGTCCACACATCACTGTACCAAATTCTCACTATGACAGCAAATTACAGGATAAATATTTTTATCACTAGCATCCTATATTTTTTTTCTGAAACTTCAAAGTATCCTCCTGGACTATCGGAGTAGATTAGGACGTGCTTACAAGAGCAATCAGATACCTGACCAATCCACACAGACAATTTGCTGCATTTCAGAAAGCTCAAGATATGTACACTTCAGAAACACCTCAGACTGATGTCTCAGAAGACACTGAGCCAGAATTTTAGGGAACACCTTCAGTACAGTACTGAACCTTAGCACTTTACCTAAGAATCTACACTAGTAATGCACAGTTATTACATACAGCCAACTACAGCCCTACTTCTACAGATGAGTAACAAAATAATCAAACAGACACTGCATTCCTATAAACTATCAAAGAAACATCCACACTACCTCACAACGCATGTGATTCATACGTATGCATTGCTTCTGTCATACTGACAATAGAACAGGTAAAGAAATGCTGTTCATTTAGTAAGAGATACTCAAAAGGAACACCTGAAACCATTTGCTTGGTTCATATTTTGAATATCCAACGTATTTTATACAATGGCTTTTGACACCTAGTGAGAAAGCATCATTTAACAGGGCATAGAACAGATAGCAACTCTATCTCATTACCAGTAATTGTTAATTAAAAAGAATCTGTGAGAAACAAACAAACCAAGCAAACAAATAGTGGAGACAATGTTGGAGGAGTAGCTCAATTTCAAACTTCTGGCTTTATCAGTTTACATAGGACTGCTTAAGAACTATGGAAGACTGGACAAGATGTTTAGAAAATTCCATCTTGTCAAATCTTGGGAAATACATCTAGGTGATGCATACATATACAGCCATTAACAAATGTGAGAGATGCAAAACAATGATATGAGAAAACACAAAATAAAGGAAGATATGTGAAAGTAACTGAGATAATTTCCTACATTAACTGACCTGACCCAAATTATCATTCACATCTGGAAAGATATGTTTTAGGGCTTGTTTTGCTATTTGCTTACTTTTCAAATATTCTGGTCACATTGTTTTTACTTTGCATCACTAAGCAAGCTACACTGGGGGTGTAACTATCTACAAAGAAGACAGCTCTTTAAGTGTGCAGAGCTGCAAACAGCATTTAACCTAAAGCATGCAATTGTTTAGTTCAGTTAAAGCTCAGTGCCAACGAGAAGCGCCAGAGGATTTACATCTAACTATGCACCGAACTGATCTGCCTTCACTCCTATAGCCAGTCTGCCTTACTCTCACTACACCATGGGAGATTCAGTGCTTTAAGGCTACATTATTACTGTTTCTAAGCAGACACATCGCTGCGCTCCCGGAACACGTCAGCACATCAGGCAAGAAAAAAAGCTGTTCTTTCACTTCAACCTTTCCTTGGCACGAAGCCCCCCGCAGCTCGCCATGCGTGGGACATCCCCAGGCCTGACCCAGGCAGGCCAGGACACTCACTGCCAAATCCCTTGGCCTGGCTAAGGAGCGCGTCCGTATCCTCCTGCAGCTCCGCCCGCTCTTGGCTCTGCGTGGCCGGCTCCGCGCCTGGCTCCTCTGGCTCCTCCGCGGGGCTGCTCCCCTCCTCAGCCACCAGCAATTTCTCCTCACCTACCCGCTCCAGTCCCAGCCAGCTGCCTAAGCCGCGCAACATGGCGCGGAAGCGGCCGCGCAGGCGGCTGTTAACAGCCGCTCCAGCGGGCAGAACCAACTCCCCGCACGGACTCCCGGACGGCCCGCTCCTTCCGCATACGTCACTTCCGGCCGCAGGGGGCGGGCCTCTGTCTGAGAAGGGGGCGTGGCCAGGCGGGGCCGCGAGGTGGGAAGAGTGTAGTGCGCGCGCGGGTACCTGCGCGTCCGTCCGTTCCCCATTCCGCGCGGAAGGTGACGCCCCGCCGCCCGCTCCGCGTCCCTCGGCTCCGGAGGAGGGGGCGTTTCTTCCCTTGGGGCTGTGCGAAGCTCACCGGTGCGTCGCGGATCCGCCCCCGTCCCGTGTGGGGCGCTCGCAGCTTCTGGTACGGGGTGAAAGCCTTTTTTGGGGAGTACTGTGGTGCTTCGGTGCTTACGGTAGTTTCTGTAAGCAGAGCTACGCGTTACAAGCACGAAGTTAAAGCTGTCTGCAGGACGCGCCTCAGCTCGTGGAGCTCTGGAGGAGAAGGGGGAACTTCGTGGCTTCAGTTCTTAGGGAGGGAAAAGGAGCCGGCTGCCATTTCCAGCAGCTCCTGTGGTTCCCCAACGCACCTGCCATTCGTTGTTTCTGCTGTGAGCAAGCAGTGGGCTTCCAGAGCTGCAGGGAAATGGGGAAATCTGGGCTTCTGAAGGTAGCAGCTCTCGTTCTGGTTCCTGTCAGGGAACTGTGGGGTCTGTGAGTCTCGAAGTGGCACGTGTTGAAGATCTTCCATTTCTTCATTCATCGGTTTCTTGTTTTATGTTACTCTGAAGTTCTGTCACTAGCGTATTTGCAGGTTGTGAAGGGGAATGGAAGGAAGCTTCCTTCTTGTTTTCTTTTTTCTTCCATGAGTGTTTGCTACATGCCTACCTGTTACCAGCTCACAGTAAATTCCAAGGGTTCTTTTCTTCTGGATTAAATACTTCGATTTTTGTCTCCCTTTCGTGTGTGTTGGTAAGGAAGTAATACTTTCTTAATTTCCTGCTATCCATTGTAAAAGCATTCAAAATAAGCACTGTTACCTTCTTGACCTCTGCCAGCTGAAGCTCTAGGCCTTATTTATGTTAACTAATAATATCAGAAGAGCAGTTATTCACTCTGTGCTGCTTGCTACCAGTGTTTAGAGAACTGTCCCAACTTGATTCTTCTTAAACGCTTTCAGATCACATGCTATTGCCTGTTGTTTTGAACAAAATGCATATTTAGGTAAGGAAAGGTTGTTCTTGACCCCAGGCCTTTTGCTCTGTGACATGCTGTGCTATCATTGTTTTAGAATTGCTCCAAGGGTTAGCCCCCAGATCTGCCTGAATGTAATCTAAATGCAGTTACAGGTGAGTTGCATTCTTCATTCACTAATTTCAGGAGGGCTGCAGACTTATGCTATAGATTTTCACACATAATGTATGTAATCAGCTGTGACTTAGAATGTTTGGAGGTATCTGTTCATACGTGAAAGCTGAAGTGAAGAAATAAAATTATAAAATTAGTTATTTTTTATTTAAATAAATATTGTTGGTACTTTTTGGAGGTTGTAAGGTGAAAAAAACTCACTGGTACCTTCCCAGACAATTAAGTGGTACAAGATGAAAGGAATAACCAAGACAAGGAAATAAGAGGTAAATCTTGCATCTATGCAAGATGGCATAGGTGTGTGGAAAAAATAGTATCTTAACTGTTTTTTTTTTCCCATCCAAAATCATATGATTGCCCTGGTATGGTATTTGAATCTGTTAGTTCATAGTGGATTTTTTTTTTTTCAATTTTAATTATCTAAGCTTTTCGTAACAGTCAGTTTTTTTTTTTTTTTTTGGAGACAGTTTCTGTGTATGAATAGCTGTTGTTCTGTATGCAAGAATTATGGCGTAGCCTTGTGAAATGTGGTGTTGCATCCTCTTATCGAAGCTTTGGCAACGTAGTGTACACAAGCAATTGCAGAATCATAGAATGACTTGGGGTATAAGGGGCCTTAAAGATCATCTAGTTTCAACCCCCTGCCACAGGGACGGGTATCTTCCACAAGGTCAGGTTGTCCAAATCCCCATCCAGCCTGACATTGGATATTTCCAGGGATGGGGCACCCACAGCTTTTCTGGGCAGCCTGTGCTCAGTCCTTATCACATTCTGAGTAAATAATTTCCACCTACACCTAATTTCCATCTAACCTAAACGTCTCCTTTCATTTAAAATCATCTGCCACTACAATTCCTGATGAAGAGGCCCTCTTCATCTTTCCTGTATCCCCATTTAGTTCCTGGAAGGCTAGTATCAAGTCTTTCCGGAGCCTTCTTCAGGCCGGACAATTTCAACTTTCTCAGCCTTTCTTCCTACAGAGAAGTGCTCCAGCCCTCTATACCTCTTTGGACCTGTTCTTCTAAGAAATCTACCTCTTTGTTAGGGCCCCAGAGCTGAATGCAGTACTCCAGGTGGAGGCTTGTGAGGCCAGAGTAGAGGAAGAGAATCACTTCCATCAACCTGCTAGCTAAACTGTCATGCTTTCTGTTCAGATAGTAGTTTTTAACACTATTCATAATTGCAGTTACCCCTTTTAAAGGGTCATTTATTTCTCTTTGTAGTCTAGGAAGCTAAGACCTGGGGAAGTTGGCCATACTGAAGGCCATATGACACAGCTCTGTGCTATCTGAAGTTGTAGTTCTGACTTTGTGTGTCATAACTTTGAATGGTTCTCTAAATCTGAAACTTAAAACTGGCATAACATTGCTTTCTTCTAGTACAGTATCAACTTTATCTCACAGTCTATTGAAGCTAGATTTTTCTTTTTAGATTTTTTTTCTCTCTGTAATTTGTTGGAGAATGGGTGGATATGTGAAGCAAGACTTTGAGGCTCATGGTTAATATGCTGTCATGTAAATGTGGATGTTTTGATTCAGTTTTTCTTTTTTGCTCTTATATTCCATTGGTGTGTAGGATACGGTAAGACCATTGAAATATTTGATATGCTGTGAGCTAGGGAGGAGAAATCTGAAAAGTCTAGTGGGTGATACAAAGATACTGGTAGCTATGTGCTGAAGGTTTTGAAGGTAGATCTACTGAGGAGAGAATGTGATTGTTGTGGCTAATGTAGCAAGGAACAGTCTTAGAGCTAACTTCTCAAAACACAAATGAAACGATTCATTTCTTTAATTTAGGAAGAATCTAGGGTGAGATTAGTCTTGCTTAACTTCTAAAAGGTGGTTGGCTGTTCCTCTCATGTTAGAGAAGTCAGATGAGTTATACCTACCCTGGTATCTCCGCAGGGCTATGAATCTAATTAGTATCTATGTTTTCTCACTGATTGTGGAGAGGATTTAGACATCAAGCTTAAATACCAGCATATAAGTGGGGGATATTCTAAAGTGGTGATTTTGTTGTTCCTGAAGGTCATTTTAATTCTTTGCATAGGGAGACTATGTTATTCCATGGGATGAATTTGCATTAATCAAATGTCTCTCTTTGTCATTTTAGATTTCCAGCTCAAAATCTGTGTGCTTGATTTGATTTTTTTTCCAATGAAGTACATCCTTGTAACTGGTGGAGTCATCTCAGGCATTGGCAAAGGGATCATTGCAAGCAGCATTGGCACCATATTGAAATCATGTGGTCTGCGTGTCACTGCAATCAAAATTGATCCTTACATAAACATAGATGCTGGAACATTTTCACCATATGAACATGGTATGAAGAACAGCACTGTTCATTTTGTAGTAAATATTTGCATATTTAATCACATGTTTTAAAGGCAACCAGCCAAACAAAAAGCAGTAGTACAATAGTTATTAGTCATTTTATCATCTATTTGGCAATGCAATCTTGTTCCCTTTATATTTTCAAGGGTGTTGTCTGCTGTGAGTAAAGAGAGGAGCTGTTGGGAGAAACCTCTGTTAGTAGAGGCTTACTTTCTGTGAAATTCTGCTTTGTTGAGAAAAATTCTAGCTGTGGGCCTTGTTCAGTGTATGCTGTCTTCTGTTCAACAAAAAAAAAAATTGGAATAGTACAGCAGAATTTTTTTGAAGCTGTACTGCTGGGCAATTAGCTGTGAATGCTGCTACCTGGGTATCAGTGTCTCTAATGTGAATGTTTTCATGGGAGTTAGTTTACACTCTTGTTTTAGTTGATGGTCAAGTCATAGAATCATAGAATCACAAGGTTGGAAACGACCTGTAAGATCATCTAGTCCAACTGTCTCCTCATCACCATTGCCACCCCTAGCACTAAATGGTCAAAACCATCAGTGGAACTTAGAAAGCTGACTGGTCTTATTATTTATAAATAGATGTTAGTTTGGTTGGCTTGTTTTGACTACACTGATGAGCTGCAAAGCAGTCTGATAGGCATTTATAATGCTGAACATTCATCTGTGCCGCATAGTGTTAGTATGTCTGTTGAAAATAGTGGTTTTCAAAGTTCCTAAGTGCCTTCAGACAAGATGGATTTCTGATTTATTTCAGTAGTCAAGTTTTGCCTGCTTAGTTTTAGTCTAAATCAACATTTTTGGAAGTGAACTGAAAGCAGTACACCAAACCACACTCAAAGCCAAATTGATCTAACCCAGTACTCCTGCACTTTCAGAGTGCTACTGAGGCAATTTTCTAAGGATATTCTGCCTTTACTTTTGATTGTAGGACTCCTGTAATGACTTCAGACTTTGAGGATATATTTTTTTTGTTGAGGGTGTTTGTTTTTGTTAAACTGTTCACTGGAATGTTGTATCTGGATGGGATATATATTTTCATAGTCTACATCATGTCTTCAGGGAGAATTCCTTCTTTCTGTCTCTTGTGCAGAGCTTTTTACCTTTTCCTTTCTACCTTTACGTCAGGATCCAGCAGTAAAGATTTCTTCAGAAATTGGATTCAGAAGCTAGCGACTCTTCAGAGATTTAAGGAAAATATGAGCCCTGAAGAATATTTACATTACACTTTTTTCAGGATCAGAAATAACTATTGCTTTATGCGTAGTGAACCAAATACATGAGATGAAACAACTTAATAATAAATAGTGAGCATGTTTGAAAAAGCATTTTATGCTTATCATAACTTTACTTCTGGTGCAAGCCTTATTCAATAAAATTTATTATTAACATTTTTGATTCCTAGAAGTTACTTTCTCCTGATTGAGGATTGTATCGGGCTATTGAAATACCTGTTGAATGGTTTTTAAGTCTCTTAATATTTTAACCATATTATTTAAATCTGTGTTCAAAAATATTTGTCGGATAGACATTCAGGGTAAAAGTGATGACTTAATATGAAGTCACACAATGACACCACAAATCAAGTTGCAGCATGTGGTTTTAATCTTTGTATCTTTTCAATATGTCCATTTAAAAAAAAAAAGTTTGGTTTGAAGATACATTTTTGGTTCTCTTGATCTGATTTGTACTTAGCAGATTTTAGCTATTTTATTACTTTGCTGTCTGTCATGGTTTTCATCCTCAGTTTTCCTTATGTTATTTTTAACATTTTCACTTTTTTTTTCCAGGAGAAGTTTTTGTACTGAATGATGGTGGAGAAGTTGACTTAGATTTGGGAAATTATGAGAGATTCTTGGACATCAATCTCTATAAAGATAACAATATCACCACTGGAAAGATATATCAGCATGTTATCAATAAAGAAAGGCATGGTGATTACCTGGGAAAGACTGTTCAAGGTGATATTTTCAGTTCTGTGGCATGCTAGTCCATCCACTCTTCCTAAAGGAGTGGCTAGAACAAGCTGCTGCTTGCTATATCAGCTCGCTCCTTTCTCCAATCTAGGAAATACAGGCATATTTGTGTAATGTAAGACTTCTGGGTTCAAGGAAAGGAGGAATATATTAAAGAAAATGCTTGTTGATTCCATTTGACTTTCTGCTTCTTTTTTCCCACTTTTTCTGCACAAAAAAAAAGAGTATGTGAGTCTAAAGTTGGATGTGCTTGCCTTACTCCTCCTGCTTTGTCTTGTAGTTGTTCCACACATCACTGATGCGGTTCAGGAATGGGTAATGAATCAGGCAAAAGTTCCTGTGGATGATGACAAAAAAGAGCCACAAATCTGTGTAATCGAGGCAAGTATAAAACCTCTCAGGTGAACACAAAGAGCTAGCTTGTTCTCTCTTTGCTATTTACTGCTTAAAAAAAAAAAAAAAAAAGGCTGAAGCTTTACAAAGAGCAGTAATACAAATACATTCTGTATTCTTGTGTATTCTTGATGATTTGTTTTGAGAACGATAGGTGTGGCTGTGGTATCTCCACAGGTTTTGTTATCTTGACTAAATCCTGCTGGAACTGAGCCGCTTAAGAGTTGACTAGTTGACAATAAATGGCTACCTTAATTTTGTAATGTGGATTATCTATTCAGAGGCGCAGATGTTTGACTGAAGCTATGTCCGATAAATGGTATTAAGGAAACTTGTGTATTATCTGAAATACCTTATGGTCCCTAGGAGAACTTACACAATTGGTGCTATCCGTGTGGCTTCAAATGCTCCATCTTGCTGCTCATGGTCATATTTGCAGGAATATATTTCAACATTATGTAGCTTCCTACTTTCTAATTTCATTTTGAAGATCTCTGTGAGCAACTTTGTTAATCACTTAACCGTGATGTTCTGCATAATGAATCTAACGAGTTTCACTTACACTTAATAGTGCATGATGACAACCTGGAGAAGTGCGGTCAGTAATTGCTGGGTATTACTGTTAGGGTTAAAAATACAGGAAAAATTTATACCTTATAATCTGACAGAAGAACATGTTGTAGATTTAATGCCAGAAGCCACCACAATAATCAGCAATGTGATAAACTTTATGACCCAAGACCAAGTTGCTCAGCGTTTCTTACACAGAACAATTTTTCTTAATCCAAATACACTCATTCATGTAGCTGTATTTTTTTTAATGATCTGCACAGTGAATAAAACTTTTAATGCAAACATAAAACCAGTAAATACGGAATTTGCACAAGCATGTTAATCAGCAGTGACCTTGTCAGTCTTTGAACTGTCAAACTTTGGACATAGTTTTGTTTCCTCTGTGTAAAAGTTTTTGCACTATAGTGCCAGCCTCATGAGATATTTTTCTTTAATACTGTAAGGATAAAGGTTTGTATTTTTGCCACTGCAAAAGTCTTAAAGCACTAGGCTGAATATATGTATCAAGAACAAATGTAGAAACATTTTCTGGTACTGTGTGAACAAAAATATGCAACTCTGTAGAAAGCCACATGGTGGCACAGAAGGATCGTTCTGAAATAAAGCTATTTCACAGAACTGGGCTAAACTGCTTCACTGAATATTTACTACAGTTCTTTGGGTCTTTAAAAGATATCTAACTTGTATCTTTGAATTAGGTTTATCATGGAATTAGTGTTGGACTTTGGTTTGGTAGTAAGTATTCAAACTGTTTTCAATTTAAAATATAATTTTCATTGTCCATGTAGGATTTATCAGTATTGGAAAGCTGTTCTAATTGAACAATTGAATTGTGCTAACATAATTATTGTTAGATATTGGTATCTTATTGTTTGTGACTGCTTATTAATCTGGGGGTTAGGAAAATGTGATTTCTCTAAACAGATTCTGTCAACTTAGCTATTTATTAACTATTGATCACCACTTTGAAAATAGTAAAGCATGTATTATTCTGTAGGGCTACATATCTCCCTATCTCCCATACATGCTTGGTGTAAAGTGAGTATAATGGAACTGGAAAACTGTTAGGTGGTTTTCACTGGGAAGAAAACACACGATACATGAGAATTCTTTGCTGAGTATGCCTGCAAATTTCATTCACCTTTGTATTCTTTTTAAAACAAAATTCAGATAACTTGTTGAATATGTAAGGGAGAAACTCTTTAAAAAGTATTTTCATTTATCTTCTGCCACTGACCGATTCAAGCTTTCTTTTTCAGCTCGGTGGAACTATTGGAGACATTGAAGGAATGCCATTTGTGGAAGCATTTAGACAATTCCAGTTCAAAGCAAAACGAGAGAACTTCTGTAATATCCATGTTAGTCTAGTACCACAGGTGAATTTTTAAAATTATATGTTTTTAATTATTAGGTAATCTTTACTCTGAATAGAGCTTTGTATTTATTTCTCCGGTTAAGAAGAGTTTTTGGAAAGGATTAGAGGTTGAGTGATAAAGGCCAAAACGTAGCTTCTTAATCACAGAAGGCCAGCCTCACTGGGATAAATAAAATCCTTGTTAGAACACTGAAACACATTCTCACATCAATAAGGCAGTTAAGTTATCAACAAAAACTTTATCAATGCTGATTTGTCTAGAAGCATAAATACGGTTGTGTTTTGCTCTGGAAAGTGCTCATACATTATGATCCTGTTAAGAAAGGCATCCAGCCTCTGTAGGATATTATTTAGGATTCTGTTTGTTAGAACTAATGTTGTAAGGTGATGGAAACCCCAGGTGATGAGGCATTGAACCATACTGGGCTGATCCCTTTTAGTCATTTGACCTATTATGTGATTTTCTTAAAAGAAAACAACTGTTGTTTCTGCTGTTAAGCAGAAATAATGTTCTTATCGAACTTGTTACTGCATTCCTAGATACAGGGAAGAGTGTGCCGGTGATGCTATCCCTGGTACCACGTGATAGCTGCCTGCAGGCTCATCTGGTGCCATGAGCTGAGTTTATGCTGTGGCTAAGTATATCCTGTGCCCAGGAGATTTCAGTGGAATGGAACAGCCTCAAGGCCAGGCTGGATGTGCTGCATAGAACAGTCCTGAATCTGCTCAGGTTAACTACTGTATGGAGCACCAACTTTTTGGTATGCGGTGATATTCCAGTCAGGACCACTACAACTTGTAGTACAGAGCTGAAAGTATTTTACATTCAGACTAAATTTTACTTCAGAAGGTTTTCTTCAGCAATTTCACTGAGGAATTTTTGGTAATGAAAGGTTGATAATGTTGATGTGATTGTGCTTTGTATAGTTAAAGAGATACTAACCACTGCAGCTAATACTCAAATAGTACACAGAATTAAACTTCCTACTACATCTGATTATTTCTGAAGACTTACGGGTTTATGCTGTTGGATGTTTTCCATTTATTAGCAAAACCCAAGACAGATTCTTTTCTTATCCAAGTCAATTATGTTGAAACTTTTCCTTTGAAAGAACAAGACAAAGTAAACCTGACTTGGTCATGTGTTTCTTCCCAGAATTTTTGATGTGTGTAATAACTATGGTGCAGTTTCTGTTTCTGTCTTGTCATAGCTCTGTTTCAATATGCTTACTTCCTGCAAGTATTATTACCTGCAATTAATTTTCTCTTTTACCTGACAGCTTCTATGTTAATATAGTTTAAATGCTATTTGAGCTTTCAAACTGTGTCCTTCTAGCCTAATGCCACTGGTGAACAGAAGACAAAACCAACGCAGAACAGTGTTCGAGCGCTGAGAGGCTTAGGCTTGTCTCCAGATTTGGTGAGTTCAGAAGTCAATAAATACAGATTTATATTTACACGTTGCCTTAGAAGTATCTGTATGCAACAAGTGGTAAAAAATGAGCCTTAGTCTCCTATGTGAGATGAGGATTTTAGAAGAAAAGCAACATACTGACTGTACTACTTCACTAAATTAAATTGCTTGGATTTGCTCGAAGATAACACAATCCAGTAACTCTTAGCAAATGTGGGGGCTTCTAGCAGTGTTCTTTGTCCAAAGGGATCATTGCAGCAAAACTGTTCTGCAATGCTTAAAAATAATCTAAAGTTCAGATGTATCAGCTCATTTTATGGAAAGACCTAGAATACTAAAACCTTCTACCATTCTTTCACAAATTTATTTTTATACAAGATTATGGGAAAGCAATCCTACCTGTCAAGTCCACCATTTAGAAATGTTGCTGTTTGGAAATTGGTAAGCCTTCAAAGTAAGGTTGCTCAATTACTTTCTTTTGTTGAACTAATATCACATATTGTAGACAAGGCAAAGCCAGCAATTTCCACCTCATGTGAGTTGGTAGCTGATGATAAATGTTAACTTCCATTCTCTCCCCTAAGTTCTCTAGTATTGAGTATGTGCTTAATGCCCAGATTTACAGTGTTTGTCTCACTGGCACTTTAACTAAGGAGCAGAGAAGGGATGTAAGTTAATTACAGCTTCCTGTGGCAATTCCTGTCTTCCACTGAGGGATGTTAATCTGCTTGTACAAGTGTTGCTTGCAATGAGGTGTTGCAGGGCAGTGCACCTTCAAATGCCAGTACAGCCCCAGTGCAAACTTAGACTTCTTAGTTTTCTGAGACAGCTGAAGGCAATGCATTTCTAGTTCTTCAGAACAGAAGAGATTCTGTTCTTTTATGTGAGGCTGCCTAAGTCAAAGAATATTTTCTGTACTTGATTCTCAAAGTCACTGAGCACTTTTCTCATGAAATCCGCTGGGAGAAAAGGCTTCCTACCTGGCCTGTCTCAGAAATGAAAGAGTAGCGAGACTAGTCACTGATTCAGTATATTTGTATACTCACAAAGAAGTGATTTTTGAAAGGATAGTTGCACAAATCAGTTATGTTTGTGTATTATGTTTCTTTCTATGATTTCTGTGATAAACTCTTTTGCAAGAATTTATTTTGGCATATGTCCTTTTTTAGTGTCTGAACATTTTAAGGGCCTCATCTTGTTGGTACTTTCCATGGAAGAGTGCAACCACATGAATTAGTGACAGAGGTATAGTGGGAATAGATGTCATTTAAAAAAAAAAAAAAAAAAAAAAAAAAAAAAAAACCTAAGAGGCACAATTTGCCACATTGAGTGGGGGGGAAAAAAAAGAGGTGTATAAGTTTCTTTTTTCTACCCCTTTTCACAATTTTTTGAAATGTAGAGTTTTCTTCAGGACTGGCCCTTGCTGAACAGGTTGTTTTGCAAATAGCTGCTTGAAGTATCCAAAGCAGAAACAAATAGGCAAGCTAATGATTAAACAGTATGGGCAGTTGAGTTCAGTTGGTCTCATGTAATGCTTGGCCCAGATATTAATTCATTTGCTAATACAACACTGTGAATAAGAACAGTGAATCTGCCCCACACTAGCCTCAGCTTTTTTTTTTTTTTTTTTTTTTTTTTTTTTTTTTTTTTTAATAAAAGCACTGTTTTACACTTGTAGTTTTCTAATTACAAGGGAAAAAAAGTTCTGTATCAATATCTGGTATTAAGTTCTGATGCAGGGCAGCTTCATGTTGATAATGTTGTTTTCCCATTAAGTTACAAAGTTACACGCTTACTTTGTCTTCCCTCAAAATTTCAAGAAGTGCCAACCAGCATTCTTACTGTTGGAAGATAAATATGAAGTATTTATTCAGTTGGAACAGGTAACCTGTCTTCATCGTGAGAATATTTTGATACTTGTCATGTGAACAGCAATTCATGAGGCCACTGATAATCTTTACATTATTAGCTGTAATTGTGTTTGTAATATAGGCACTGTTTTCAGATAGCTGTATTTGTATTGGATAGGAGAGAGTGTGGACTTATTTACATTCATTTTCATGTTTTATTGTATGAGAAGACTTAGCATTTTATCAGCAAATATGTTTTTAACTACGCATTCAATTGTTTTTTATAAATAAGATGTTTGAAGGCTGTGTTAGGTAGCTTAAAACACCTCTCACAGGGTAACTAGTATGTTTGTAGAGGGAATGATGCGCAGCACTGCTCAACATTCTGAGCTTTGAGGGCTGAAGTTCAAAATACCTCTGTATACGTATGCGTACTTGTAATATGGAAAGTTGGGTGTGATTTTTTTAATAGGCCTTTATGGTGACTGCCAGTGCCTCCTTTTATTTTTTGCAAATTTTTTTTTGTTTCCCAAATTAATTTTAAAAACTTGTTATGTATGTGTGAAATCAAAGGGAAGTAGGTTAGTTGAGTCACTTCTACATACCTCCTTGTCTGGAGCAGTACAGGGGCTGCCAGCAGCACAGTGCATTTGTTTCGTTTTTTGCCTTGTTGCTCTGGTTGAGGATTGAAGCACAGCCACTGCCTATTGGCTGTGTCAGTAAGCTGTCAGAAGAAAACATGTATAGCTGCTCTCTTTTTCTTGGTGATCCTTGAAAAGTGGCAGTCAGGAGGGCTTCCTTCATAAGCTATACGGCCAGGCTGCCTTGTGTTAGCTGCAGGTAACAGCAGCTTCCCTGAGGTGGCATGCTGTGCTGGTTTCAGCTGTCTGCATAAAGGAGCCTTTCTGTTCTCCTTGGGGAGTACCAAGAGCTTAATGAACACACTGTGACTGCAGTTTTCATGTTGCTGTGTCTTGAAAACTGATGGTATGTTTGTCCATGCTGTCCTATTTGATTGAATTGTACCCGTTGTCTTCTTTGTATTATTGTTACTTTGAGACGCATCTCAGCCACTGTTATTGCAGTTTTGTTTTCATGCTGTTTCTGACATTTTTTTAAAAATTTCTGTGACTTGAGCATTGAAGTTTGTCTCAGGAAGGAAGTCAGATTCCCAAGAGGATTTAATCGTGCACTTGTGCTATCAAGATTTATGAGTAAAGTTTTCAAACAGAATTAAATTTTTCAATATAAGCTATACTTAGTTGAGAATGTACAAATTGTTGCATTCATTTTGATTTTAAATTTTTATAAGACTAAGCAAACATTTTCCCTTAAATTTGCCCTTTATTTTCCTTATTCTAGAAGTTTTTGCAAGGGTAAGGGAAATTATTTAAGACTTCATCAATATCAGTGTAGCTAAACTGCATTTCAGCAATGGGATTGAAGAACATCTAGTTTCTGAACAGAAGAAGAGGTTGATGGGTTAAGTAGTTGTGTATACAAGAAAGATGGGGAATTAAACTTTTAACAGTATCGTTGTGCTTGGTTATACTTCAAGGATTCAAAATAATTCGAGGTAGGTTAAGTTATCAATAGGAACATTCAGAGAGCAGTTGTACACTTTAATTGCCTGATGTTCAATAATGAAAATAAAACATCTCTTCCAACAAATACCAAAACGCCCATTTATTTTCTTTGTTGGAAAAAAAAAAAATCAGTATTTTCCAAAATCCCAGAGTTTGATATGTTTCAGCATAATAATAGCAGCTGAAGGGGAAAAAAAAACAAACCCAAACAAGACAAAACAACAAACAAACAACCCACAATGTTATGAAACAGTTTTCTATTTTTCAGCCTTCTTTTTACTGTTATGTACAAATTAAGAACTACAAAAAAGATACTGAAATGATAGAAAACACGCATGTAGACCAAGTATTCTTGCTATGAACTTAGCTGGTAGGAATATTTCTGTGTGTTATTTATACTTACAGACCTGCTTCACTTTATCTAAGGAATATTACAAATAGTTAAAAGCAAGAAGAAAACAAAATACATTCAGAAGGTGACAAAGATTAATAAAAATGGGTCAGTATGGGCAGGTTAACTGAATACTTGCTAGAAGATGTTTGTGAGCTGTGATATTTTGTACAACTCCAAAAGAGTGCAGAATGATAAAGTGCATTTGCTTGTGCTGTGCTTCCAAAGGAAGTGATCTTCTTCATGAACAGTACTGAGAGTCTTCTATTGTTTCTTTTCTGGGGAAAGATTTAAGATATTTTTTCTTTGCTATGACAGATTGTCTGCAGAAGTGCAAAACCTATAGAAATGGCAGTGAAGGAAAAGATCTCCATGTTCTGCCATGTGGAGCCTGAACAGGTCAGTATTTCAGTTATTGTTAGTTATGTATGTGGGAAAGCATATAAAAACATCCATGCCTTTCAGCTTTCACTTCAGATTATTTCATTACATTATAGTTGTTTTCCTGACTTTTTCTTGCTTTTATGTACACTTCACCACTTAAGAACATCAAAAGTTTATATGCTACTTTTCATATATTGAACAGTCATTAACAATTTTAATGCATGTTATATTTGGAATAATTACTGAATAGCCTGTGGGGAAAAAAAAAAGTTAATAAAAGGAGTAGATTTTGAATATATAGTTCTTTTACTATATGTTGTCATGAAAACTCTGCAGTCTCATGCAATAACTGGTGCAGTAACTATGGTTGATTATTGTCCGTAAATCATCTAAAATGCTTTGAATAATGGATAAACAAAGCCAGCCCTAAAGCTAGGGATTTTTTCATGTCCAGAGATCATCACAGCTGCTTGAATATGGAGGCAGGCTGAGAGAGTTGGGGTTGTTCAGCCTAGAGAAAAGAATGCTTGGGGGAACCTTATAACGGCCTTACAGTACCTAAAAGGGGCTTAAAAAAAAAATGGGGAGGGACTCTTTATTGGGTAGTGTGGTGATAGGACAAGGGGGAATGTTTTTAAACTAAAATAAGGGAGATTTGGGTTGCTTATTAGAAGGAAGTGCTGGAACAGGTTGCCCAGAGAGGCTGTGGATGCCCCATCTCTGGAGGTGTTCAAAGCCACGTTGGGTCTTTGGGCAACCTGGTCTTCTGGAAGGTATTTCTGCTCATGCCAGGGGGTTTGAAACAAGGTGATATTTAATGTCCCTTCCAATCGAAGCTATTCTGAGATTCTTTGATTGTAGTTAAAGCTAAGGGATGGAAAGGGGGAGAAGGTCATAGTTTTGGCATCTGACTTCTCAGCTAACAAGTATGTGAGATGAAATCCTGCTTTCCTGGAAATAGATAAACATCTGCCTACTTATAGGAAGTAGTGGAAGAAGTTGCTTGTGCATGTATTTTGTCATACCCATTAAACTTTATCTTAACTCAGGAGTTTTTTCAGTTTCATTTTTCTGATTCTCTCTGTCCATCCTGCAGGGGTGAGTGAGTGAGTGACTGTGTGGCACTTAGCTGCCTGTTGGAGTTGAAGTTCAACAACTGCTCTGCTCACTCAAAAGAAACTTATTTAAAAAGTAGAATGTATGCAGAATATGGAATGCACATAGTATGCAAAAATAGAATGTGTATTTACTATGAGAAATATTTAGGTAAGTATGTATATTGTGCTTTTCTTTTTTTCTTCAGGTGATATTTATCCATGATGTTTCTTCTACTTACCGAGTACCAATTCTGTTGGAGGAGCAAGGCATCATGAAGTATTTTAAACAGAGGTTGAATTTACCCATTGATGACCAGCCAAGTGATCTTTTAATGAAATGGAAGAAAATGGCTGACAGGTATGCTGACTCCTGCTGCTCTTTTGGGAGGTGTTTGAATTCAGGTTAGGTTTTACCTGACTTGAAACCACCAAACTGTGCTGGGGTCAGTAGCGTGTTGCTACTGCAACACCTGTGGAAACTCTGGGTTTAGAAACATTGACATTTTAGGGATTTTAAAAGATGCTTTATAAAGTTTAAGAAAAATGAAACGTGAAAATGGATATAATAATCCAAAAACTTTTTTTGTCAGATATGAAAGGTTGCTGAAGGTGTGTTCCATAGCTCTCGTTGGCAAGTACACAAAACTAAGTGATTGCTATGCATCTGTTTTCAAGGCTCTGGAACACTCTGCACTGGCGATTAATCACAAACTGGATTTAATGGTGAGGATCTCTGGATTTTGCTTTCAGGAATATTTTGAATATACATTACGAACTGCCATCATGTCAAGCAGCTTTTATTCAGATGAAAATTAGAAAATGAATCATGAATAAATACAGATTGGCTAAACAGTTTTTTTTTTTTTAATGAAGCATTTAGAAATGTAATTGTTTTATTAGGAACTAAACTTACCTGAAAATATTATTGATAATCCCACACTGGGGATCTGATCCACACAATGGATCTGATTATTTGATTTACTTTCAAGGTTAGGTTTCATTTGTTATGGGACTGCTTATTGTGTTATTGAGATTAGCTTAAGAAAGACAAGATAATAGACAAATTAAAAAGCAATTTATTTTCTTATTAAAATTTGCTGTGAGGATCCTTGTATAAGGATTGAATTTGTCTTCTTAAAATAAGAATAGAAAGTTGAATGACACAGAGAAATTGCTATTGGCTTTGTTACTGCTGTTAACTATCCATTTCTATTCTAGGGCTTTGATGGGGTGGGAAGGTCTGGGGCAGAGAAGCTGTGTGGAAGTGTATATTGGTCATTATGAATGGGTGCAGAGGATACTTTGGCAACTTGCAATAGCAAAGTAACAGTCACAAAGTATCAGCATCAAAGTTCTGGTTTAGTGTGATTTCAGGAAGAGGTAGTAGGTAGATTAATCAAAGTGGGCAGTTGAAGAAGCCCTACAGAAAAAAATTTCAAAGAATGGAGTGTGTTAATGTATTTCCTAGAGAGGCAGAAAGAGATATTTCTTACCAACAGAAGAAACTCAGAAAAACAAATTGTTTAATGCCTTTGTTAATTATATGAAAGATGAGATGGAGTGCACCTGAGCAAGTCTGAGGATGATACTAAATTAAGGGGAGCTCTTTGTATGGTGGCTGTTACTCTGAGGGACCTTAACAGGCTATGGGAATGGGCTGACAGGAGCTGATGTTAGAATCATAGAATTGCTCAGGTTGGAAAAGACCTTAAAGATTGTCAGACTTGATGGTTAGGTTGCATAACCTTACTACACTAGTTCTGACAACACTCTGCTAAATTGTGTTGTGAAATTGAAAGGGGAAAATGCTAGTCCTGCATCTGACATTGAGTAACTTCATTAGTAGTGCAGGATGCAGCATGACTGACTAACAAGTAGCTTGTAGAGAGGTATTTGGAGTTGCAAGTAGATGACGAGTTGAGTGTGAGCCAACAATGTGCCATTGCTTTGAAGAAGGCCTCCAACATCCTGCACAACACTGTGGTAGTAAGTGGCATCACATGATGAGGGTAGCTGAGGGTAATCACTGTTCCCCCTCTGTTCAGCACTTTTAAGACTGTGTATGAGGGGTGGTATTCAGTTTTCTTCTTCCCAGTACAGGCTATGTACTGACATGATGATTGAGTCTGAAGTAGGGCAACAAGGATCAGAGGGCTGAAGTGCACATGTATGAAGAGAGCAGAGTAAGTTTCTTCAATCTGAAGAAAAGAAAGCTTGGGGGAAATCTTATTGCTGTCTGTATCCAAGAGAGTGAAGAGAAGATGAAGTCAGGCTCATTCCAGAAGTGTGCAGTAGAAGGTTGAGAGAATGTAACAAGTGTTGACTTAATTAAAAAAAAAAAAAAAAAAAAAAAGAAAAAAAGAAAAAAAGAAAAAAAAGAAAATTCATTGTGAAAGCAGTCAAACCCTGAAACAGTGTGCCCAAAGTGGTTGTGAGGTCTCCATCCCTGGAGAATTTTACATCCTGACTGGAAATGGCCTGAACAACCTGCTTCAATTCGACCTGCTTTAAATAGGGATCTTGTCTAGAGTCTTCCAAAGGCCCTTCCAATCTGTGTGATTCTGTCACTCTTAGTAGTGTTTTATGCTGGCAGTTGCATAATTGGAAATTTTTATGATGTGTAAAACTTTTTTTTTTTTTTTTTTTTTTTTTTTTTCAGTGAAGTGTGCCTAGTTTTGCAGGTACATGGTTAACAAGGCTTACTTGCCTCTTAAGCTGAGTTCAGTGGAGCTTTTCCGTTAACAAGCAAGGGAATAACTGATTGTTAAAACTCATTCCAGCTTGGTGCTGAAGTGTGCTAGCTGACAAGGATTCCTGCTGTATTTATCTGCATACATCAACTTTTTTTTCCTCATCAGAAGGTTCTCTATATAAACCTGTGTTCCAAAGGAACTTCTGAATGTTGTATGTGGGATCCTGCACGCAACATAATATCTGACATATGTGAATGATGAAATGTTGATGCTGCTTGAACGTGCTGCTTCTCTATGCTTGGCAGGGAAACTACAATTAACTTTAGCTGTAATTAGTTTTTTCCTCAGTTTCCCAGTGTGTTAAAGCATCCTTTCAGTTTGTTGTCTTGTACCAGTGTAAAATAGCAAGGCCTGTAGTAATTATTTTTTTGTTGTGTTTTTGATGCTTTTTGAAGAATGGAAAAAGGAGAAATATTAGCTAGGAGGCAACTCTATCTGGAAAATCATAGGCCAATCTTTATATCTGTTTAATTTCTTTACAAACAAATGAATACTGTCACTTCAGATAATCTAATTCTTAGTGTGTGGCCACTACAGCAGGATGCTACTAACTATGCTATTTTCAGAAAGACTGTTAAAACCGTGAATCAAACTCTGATATTTTGTGACTCTAATGCAGTATATAACTGCCCCAGTCATTTACTCTAGTGATGCCTCAGGAGCCATGCTTACTAATGGCAGTATTGATTCTAATGCAAGATCTCTGGTAAGACATAAACAGTGCGCCTGCCTTGCTCTCTACAGTTCATGCTTTCAAGTCAACTCACATGAGTGTCTTTCTGACAGGCTAGACAATGCAAGCTTATCCAGTCTTAAAGATTAGATAAGCAATGGCACCCAAAAGCTAGTAAAATGAGCATCCTAGTTACATCTCATTTGGATGTCAGTTCAAGGTCATCCCCAGCCCTCAATTGGTGCCCAGATTTCCATAGAAACTAAAGCTGGGTACGTGGCTGTTGAGCACTGTAGCAAGTCTGTGTACCTGGAGGGCAGGAAAGCAAGGACTGGAGGCGAGCAGAGCTCTGGAGCTGATGTGCAAAGAAAGGAGCATGGGGTGCAGCAAGTAGAGCAAACATTGAGTCTTCACTGTAGTTGCTGTATTCTACTGAGAAATTCACCTGAAGCTCTTAGTAGTTCTGTCATGTAGAAGTTGCTTATATAGTATGTGCTGCTTTCTCTGTGGAAGAAAATACTATTGTATTATGTTTTTTTTTTTCTCCTTAGTATATAGACTCAACAGAACTTGAACGTTCTACAGAAACGGAGAACTCAGTGAAATACCATCAGGCATGGCACAAGCTGTGCAAAGCAGAGTAAGTGTTTTGAATCTTGAATGTGGTATTTACTTAATGTGGTGAAAACTACTTCAATGAATCACTTCTCAGTGTATCCAAACTTTTGTTTCTTACGGAATGGGACAGCCTTGCATGACTGGTGCCAAGACAGTGAAACATAACAAATTGTGGAATTGCCCTGCATCCTCAAACTCTGTTTTAATCTCTTTAGACATATTGCAGTTGTTAGTTGCTTTGGATAGCTAGTCAAAATAGTTTCCTTAAAGAACAGGTCTGTTTGTCAGTGACTTTAGTCAGTGGACATGGATCACAGTGAAAGGTAGAGAAAAGCTTAGTAAATGCTTGTGCCACTCTGAAAACCTTTTTGATATGAATTGTTGTTGGGCTTTCAATTTTATTTGTAAGGACGTGTAACTTGTTGTTTAGATGCGTTTATTTTTTCAGTTTTATTCAGTAGTCATTGAGTTTTGGTCTTAAGATTCTGCAGTGGTGAATAAACATATTCACTTAGTGAGTACACTGCTAATAGCTGTAGAAAGCAGTGAGAACTTCACTGTGTAGTAAAGAGTCAGATGAGAATTCACATGGATAGATAAGACAAATTCCCACATTTAAATTCTGCATGGTAGTAGGACACATCTTTTGTGCACTGTTTTTGTTCTTTTGTAATGAAAAGTCCATACAATCTGAGAGACTTATTTTGGTGACTTGATTGTATTTGTTAGATGCTTTATATATGCTGTCATTACAGTGGCATTCTCGTCCCAGGAGGGTTTGGAATTAGGGGAACAGAAGGCAAACTCCAAGCTATCTCCTGGGCAAGAACAAAGAAAAAACCTTTCCTCGGTAAGATCATTAGTGTCAGTAATTGTGTTTTGGAGGTGTAGAGAAGGCTAATTTGATATTTAAAAAAAGTAGTCTTCCCAACCTGCTAGAACAGGCGCGTGGACATCTACTGTGTTGTTAGTAAGTAAAAAGAATACTGTCAATTGAATACTAATAAAGGATTCTGTCTTAGGACTGATTGTATGTATGCTGTTTGCATCATATGCCTTATAAATTGTGCCTAGGGTCATAGTTATGTACTCCAGCTGCTATGTGAGGAAGGAAGAAAAAGGCCTTTCCTACCTTTTGCATTCCAAAGGCTTTATTTGCTTTATTCACATTTTGCATGGAGGTTCTGTGTACCTCAAAGTCACAAAATCACAGAATGGCCAGGCTTGGAAGGGGTCTCAAGGATCATGAAGCTCCAACCCCCCTGCCACATGCAGGGCCACCAACCTCCATATTCAACACTAGACCAGGCTGCCCAGGACCCCATCCAGTCTGGCCTTGAGCACCTCCAGGGATGGGGCACCCACAACCTCTCTGGGCAGCCTGTTCCAGCACCTCACCACTCTCTCTGTAAAGAACTTCCCCCTGACATGCAGCCTAAATCTTCCCTCACTCAACTTAAAACCATTTCCCCTTGTCCTGCAGTTATCTACCCTTTCAAAGACTTGATTCCCCTCCTGTTTATAGGCTCCCTTTAGGTACTGAAAGGCTGCAATGAGGTCGCTCTGCAGCCTTCTTTCCTCCAGGCTGAACAAGCCCAGCTCCCTCAGCCTGTTTTCATAGGGGAGATGCTCCAGTCCCCTGAGTGTGAAATCAGTATCGTACTTACTAATCAGTGTGCAGAAAACAAGTGTCTTTGGAGATGCGCAGTATTAATTTTTATTATTTGTCTGATATCTTATTATAACAATTCTTGAAAGTTCCATATGGCCTGTCAGCTACATGCTCTGTGTGTGAATCCCTGGAGCTTTGGCCCTCACTCTAGATTTGGTACAATTCTATAAGTAACAGTGGCTATTTGGCTATTTGCTAAAATAAAATTAGATTTTGGACGCTTTCAGCTTTTGTTTCTTTGCAATAATTATTTGAGAAGATGGGAGGAAAAAAAAATGAACAGTTTTTGAGAGAGTTTACAGCGTGATTGTTTCACACGTATTCACAGTACTGCTAGTCTGAAGAGTTTGCCATTTTTGTTTCTGGTAAGTGTATACACAAGGTTTCTGAACAGTCTTATTAAGATGGAATAGTAAGTACTTTATCTGCCCTGTTCTTTGTGCTGTTAAATTTTGGTGGTTGTTGTTGTTGTTCTGTCTTTTAGGAGTTTGCCTGGGAATGCAATTAGCAGTTGTGGAATTTGCAAGAAACTGTTTAAATTGGAAAGGTGAGCTCAGAATGCTGGTGTGGATGTGGTTTGTTTAGATGGAGTTTTATTCTATACATGAAATATTTATCTATTTTTAGGTAGATCCTAGGATTATCCTTCAAAATGGTTATGTTGCGAGAGCTAAGCACCCTGCGTACAAAGGAGCAGGAACTCCTGTTATGCAGATTGCCTGTAACTTGCTTCCTGACTTAAGCACATTTTCTGCAATACTCTTCTTGTTCACCTTTGTGAACATTCTTGCTGGAGTGTACAGGTGTGGTCAAGAGTTAAAATGTGAAATTAAGCCTCGCTTGCTTTTGCATACTTTGTTGGAGTTGCTAAATTAATACCCATTGCAGCAGTAATTTGAAGAGGTTTACCTCACCAGTGAACTGCTACCACTAAAAATGGAGATGAAGAAAGTTTGGGAATTGGGAAATGTAGTGTGTGTGACTGAGGTCACAGGAGAGTGCTTCCAAGGTGGTACAGTATGTCTTTCAACAGGCAAGGCTGAAGTGGAGATGCAGACAAGTAGAAAAATGTCACAGAACTGCTCTTATGAGTCTGTAGTGCTTTTAGAACAACGGTGATGTATGGTTTTGAACTTTTTTTTTTAGATGCAAATTCTACAGAATTTGACCCAGACACAAAAAACCCTGTTGTAAGTACTGATATTTCTCCTGTGTGTGTTTTGTGTTAGAAATAAGTGAACTCTGTGGAAGTTACAGTTGATCTGTTACCTGAAGTGATGTCCATTGTCTTTATTCACGTTTACTTATATAGGCATTTTATTTTTGGATAGTTCCTTGCCCTCACCTGCTCACTTCTGTAATTTGCCACGACAGTATTTTATTATTAAGTTTTTAATAGTTTCCTTAGCTGTAACAAATGCTGGTAGTAGACAATAACACTAGTTTTACTGGAGAATAAAATTTAAAGAGAAGCTGGAAAGTGTAGAGCAAAGCCATTAAAATATAAACTTACACAGGAAGAGTTAAAAACAAAGCTGTTGAAAAATTTTTTTCTTTATCTGGGTAGTGGAAAGTAGGCACTCTTTCCTGCTGACCCCACCCCCAATGTACATTCATCTCAAGGTTCTTTTCAGAAAAATTTCAGTGCTGTAGGTAAGCCAGGGCTCTCAGTATGGGATGCCAATGGTAGCATTTTGGGATGGAGCTCCTCTGGGTGTATGTTCTAGATTGGGAGAATGTACTATCACATTATCCATAACAATAAAACTTAAAATGGGTCAGTAGGGATGGGTTTGTAAAAGTGAAATAGGACAGATGCGAACATGTGGAAAATGAAGTAGTACCTTTGTGTAAGATCCTTTAGTGATGACTTAAGTGCATTGCTTGTGATACAGAAACATAGCTTATAAGCTTCCTTCAGAAGAGCTTTATTGGGATTTTAAAGTAAAATACTTTTTCACATCTGCTTCATCTGCAACATGCCAATGGGAGTTTTTAGAAGTGTTTTACCTGTTTGTCATTGTTTACATATGTAGAAGAGGTAATCCAGTCTGAGCTTTTGAACTTAACTTGAGACGGCAACCATTTCATTAATTGTGAGATTTTCTGCCTTCCTGAAAGTATGAGAAGACATACTTCTTCACTGAAGGGATCCATTCCATAAATAGCAATGTGTTGTAAAATGTGGAAGTTGTTGAAAGCTTACTATAATTGTTTTGGGAAGCAAGAGTGATAATACAGGAGGCTGATTCTGTGATGACTTTGCTTTTAGGGTTTTTTAGTGACAATTCTAGGTATGCAGGATATTTTACTGTTGTTGGGTAGAATGGGGCACAGTTTCTTCTTTTGGCACCTTAAGACTTTTAACTTAAACCGAAAGTGATGTTTGTGGTTTTTCAAAGTTATCTTATTTTTCTGGTAATTCAAGCTCAGTTGGCAAAGGGTTATAATGCTATCAACGCCTATTTTTTTTTTTTTAGTCTTTTGAACAACTGATATACCTTGCTTTCTGTGGTTTGAATCACCATCCACTGCTTTAAAAAGATTTGAGCGTCATTTGGATTTCAACACTGGCAATTTGAGTTCATTATTCTTTACATTATTGTGATTTTTTTTCTATATGCAGAAAGTTTCTGCTATTGCATTGTAGCAACAATCAGTTTTTTGGGGGGTTAGTGCTGCCTAAGACTGCGGCAGAGAGCTGGTGGTTTAAATTAGGAGTGTAGGTGATGCGAGATCCTTCTGCCTGGTGCAAAGAGACTCATAATTTTCAGGGACCTAAAGTCAAGTAATATGGAATACATCTTATATAGCTTCATATGACTACGTTTCATCTGGTCAGCTCAGATACCTTTTTGGAGTGCGGTCAGGTCATGAAGCCTGCTTGAGGAAGAGGTGGAACTGCCCATCTGCCTCCATTATTCTGAGGATTGTTTGCTAGTTCATATGCAGAGATCAACAGTTAACTGAAGTCTGGAATATAGAAGCTTGTCTGCAGTGGTACTGGCTGTTTCTTTCATTACTGAAATGGTAGTGTGTATTATAATGTATATCAGACAAAGTTTTTATTCCACAAGTAATTAACGGAGTGATTTGCAGTTAGCAATCAAAGTCAAGCAAAGTATATGTTTTATAAAGAAAATTGTGTTGGCATTCATTGAAGAAAGTAATAGAGCGAATGTATGTGTCATAGAAGATTAATACAGTATTTACAGTGGAAGCAATATGCTTTCAGTATGTATAACAGATTCTTTTCTTCTAAGCTGCACTAAGGCTGTGAAATTGGTTAATGCTGGTCAGCACCTTAATCTGATCTTTGACATCTCAGTTCTGGGTGAGAAACGGCTGTAAATTGTTCCAAGAAATAAATTTATACTGTCAATATCTGTTAATGCTAAGACTTTGCTAAAACAGATTATTTAGCTTGTGCTGAAAACTTTAGGTGTTCTGTGTAATAACAAATCAATAAAAAAGACTGGAGAAGCAGCAGATTAGTGAAGCTTGTGAACTACTGGACTGATGCAGATGTTTCATTATCCATAAAAATTAATTGGAAACAGTGTCGGCACTGATAATATCTTGTGATGCCACTGCGTGATTCAGCTGAGTCCTGACTGAGAACCGCAGCAGTATATATATATATATTTTATTCCTGTTCTTTTGGAAGCTGAAAGGAGAGAGGAGAAGCACTAATGAGGCATCAGTTCTGTTTTCTTCTGTTTTTAAAAGGAAACATGTTCTACAGTGTTTATCAGGAGAATTCTGGGGCAACCATAAAATATACATCTTCTTGCATTCCTTGTTAATTTGTTAAGCATTCAAGTACTCAGAACAGTACATACCAAAATAGTCTCTTCTGAAGCACGTATATAAAAAAATGAAGGGATACTTTGCTTTATTATTAGCCTTTTTAGTCCCTGCAGGTTGTTCTCTTTCACGCTTTTCTTTAAGTTTGTGGAAATGAACTTTTCTTTTTCAATAAAAAAAATAAAAATTGAGATTGTTGAATAACTGGGAGTTAAGCTTCCAGAAGAAATACAAGTGACTGAAATTGTGAGAGATTACTATTGTTAATGTCTCTCAATAACAGTGGCACAAGTTGTACTACAGAAGAACACTGTATTAGGGAAAAAAAACAACAGTGTTGTAAGAAGTTTCAGTGTGATGAGGCAACTGTGACTTGTGCTTCTTTGACAAATAATGAACACAGAACTGAAAGTGCAAATGCAGTGTTGCATGAAATGCTGAATATCTGCTTCATTCAGCTGCTTGTCTTCTTGCTCTATTCACTCATTATGACAGTATTACTTGACCTAGGTTTTGCAAAATCACCCAAGTGAAACCTGATACAGGAGGGAAACCCTGTATTGCCTGTTTTGGGAGGAATTCTTATTAATAGTCTGAGCATGTAAATGGCTAGATGTATTATTTTAGATTTCAAATGATGAGGAAAAAAATGATAATCTCTGCATATAAAACAAAAAGAGGAAACTAATGGCTTTATAATGTGAAACATACCCCAAATATTCTTTTAAAATCCAGTAGGAAAAAGAATAAAGTATGAGATGTAGTGAAGACTTAGAGGAGTTGCTACCTAGAATTTGAAAACATTAGTAGACTGTGGGTTATAAATTCTGTTTGAAAGATTTGAAGTTATTTGTTCAGTATTTTCATTTAGTCTTAAGCTAAAGATGTGTAGTCTGAAGTAAAAAAAGATAATGATCTTTAGAGCAGTTTTTACCTTTTTTTACCCAACCATGCCTTTTGTGTTGAATAACGTGTTAAGGTTTTTGGTTTTTTTTTTTAGTTTTAAGTATGTTTGATTTTCCTGAGGCAAATGAGACAGATATATCATCATTGATCAGTCCCTGATGTTCCTTATCATCATCTTGACTCGTTATTTTCAGGTTATGTTCCCATTATATATTATATGCTCTGTTTTTCAGCCCTTTGGTTAATAACAGTAGGTAAATTGCAGCTCTCTGCTGGGAAGATAACTGTTCAGAAAAAAATAATGCATTGAGAGTAGTGCTTAGTATGAGTTTTCTATTGCAAATGACAATTTTAAAATCTCCTTTAAGAAGAATCTGTACAGTCTGAACTGCTAATGAGGTTGATTCCCTGGGTGGAAAAACAGATATTTTTTTGTGTCCATCTCCCTTGTCTTTTTCGTTCACTTCCTCTAGTGTTAAGCTTAGATTTTCTTTTTTGGTAAAGAACAAAATGAAAAGCTGAAACTTTATTTCAGCTGTTTAGTACTATTTCTAGCAAGCAAGCAAACAGAACAGCAGCATAATGAAACTGTTCCAGCAAGGATTCTTATGTATTTGTTTTAAGTTAAGTCTTGTTGTGACAGGTCATAAAGAACTGTGCTAGCATCTCTTGCAGCATTGTGAAGCTTGAAGTGTTGCATGGCATCTGTGTTTTGCAAGAAATTGCCTAGAAGTAGACTTTGCCAGTAGGTGACACTCTTATAACACGTTTGTGAATTGATGCCTGCTTTTCTTGTACAGGATGCCCATAACCAGATTAAATTCTAAAACACGAAATGTTTCCTAACAAATGAAAAGGAATGTGTGTCCTATGTGTTATGTAAAGAAACATCTTATAATTCTGTGATATTATTTGTGTGAAGTAGCTAGTGTTGCTTAGCACACAAATGAGAATATGCCACATTTTGTTTTGACATCAAAGTATATTGGTAACTTAGGACAATGATTTTTTAATAAACCAGAAAAAAAGTACCAAGTACTATGATTTCCTTCTCGCCTTCCAGAACTTGTGACACAGTTTAACAGCTGAAGTGTTTGTGTAAAAGCATGGCCCAAGAGCCCAATAGAACATTCCTATTGTTTAAATATTGTAATTTTTGAGGCTGCTGTGCATGCAACTGTGGTACAGCACTGGATTCCACTGTTAGGGAAGAAATCCAAGTATAGGGATCACTTGTATGTGGTCTCTAATGCACTTGATTTGCTTTATCACTAAGTTGCTTCCTAAGTCCTTAAGTAACTCTTGAGATCTGGACCTAATTGCTCTATCAGCATAATGGAGGATGTTGATAATAAAATTCTGTCCAAAATTGAGAGTTCTATAGAATGATTAATGCCTCATCCTTTAGATTATTTTGTATTGAAGTTACTTCCTTTTTCTTCTTCATTCATTTCCTTTATTAAAGTAAATGATAATC